GTCTTGTGTCTGGTCCTGTGTCATGTCCTGTGTCTGGTCTTGTGTCTGGTCCTGTGTCTGGTCCTGTGTCTGGTCTTGTGTCTGGTCTTGTGTCTGGTCTTGTGTCTGGTCTTGTCTTGTGTCTGGTCTTGTCTTGTGTCTGGTCTTGTGTCTGGTCTCGACCACAACACTGATTTATGTACATGTAACAATTTTAGCATGAGTATATAAATTGTAAATACAAAGATGTACACGTACGTGGTTGAAGTATTTTACAAAAATCTATAGGTTATTGTAATTGCATTGGCAATGCAAGTGATAGAGTTTATCACATTTTACCAAAAAATATATATATTCAGCGATTCCATTTATTCACATCACCAAGTACAAGTATTTGGTTTTAGCTTACTGTTGATCTGTGTTAGGTGTAGCATTTATTCGGGTGTGACGATGCTTTTTGTCAGGTATTTTCTGATGTATAGTTAACAGACAATGCAATCATCATGTAAATTGTGTAGGGATTGTAACTAAATGAGACAGAGGTCAGCAGACGCATAACCATTCATTCTGGATGTAGTTCTCAGGGATTTTTCTCAGCAGGGGGGAAAGGATTTCAGAATTTCAGTAATAAAACTTTTGCTTACAAAGGCACTGTGGTCAACAAATTCTGACAGAATATCCAGTTTTACAAATTCTGCAAAGGGATGCAAACATTTTTTTTTTAAAACTTTGTGAATCTCGGGAAAAAAACTCCAGACGATAGGGAACAATGTTCATTCTAAATTTTAAAGGCAGAGGACAACTTCAATGGCTGCTCCCGAGTGTGAATGTATATATATGTAAATACCATAAGCCACTGTTTGAAAATGCTTATTTTGGTGGTTTTTCCGGCATTTTAAGTACAGGTTGAAAGTATTTTAGGTGACTTTTCAGCTGCACTAGCAATGCAAACTAAAGACTAGAGCAGAAATAAAATATACAAATGTGTACGGAAACTCGGAGATCACCGGTGTCTTGGGTCACTCTTTGTTGGTCAAGTGGTTCTAATTTTGGGGGTGTGACGAACTCTACAATTACAGGATTTTTCCTTATCAAGAACTGTTAAAAGCCCTTCGTGTAACCGGATGACTAAATTTAAAGGGGACAGTCGACAAAGGAGGACAGTCAACAAAGGAGGACAGTCAACAAAGGAGGACAGTCGACAAAGGAGGACAGTCAACAAA